GGAGCAGCTTCCTTCCCCCTGCATTCCCAGAGGAGCAGCTTCCTTCCCCCTGCATTCCCAGGGGAGCCCAGGCCCATCTCCCCCAGCCCTGGAGCTCCAGAGGAAAACTCCCCCCTTGTGCAGGATCTGCTCCAGCAGAAGCACAGCTGGCACTGCAGGAGGGCTGAGCCCCCCTGGGATGGGGCTGAGCCACCTCCCTGACCCACAGGGGACAGGGCCTGCTCTGACTCTGGCAGTGGTTTGTTTTCTTTTTTTTTTTTGTACTATTGCATTTATATTTTAAATTTTCCTATTAAAAAACTGTTATTCCTATTCCCATATCTTTGCCTGAGACCTTTTAATTTAAAAATTATAATAATTCAGAGGGAGGGGATTTACACTTTCAATTTCAAGGAAGGCACCTGTCTTGTCAAACCAAGACTCCAGCCCAAGAGAAAAGAACATCATCCAGCTGGTTCTCTTTTCACTGATGGTACCATGACACATACAAACATTTCCATAATAGACTCATCAATAATTGAGCAGCTTTGAAGCATGACTAGAACTCAAGCATTCTGTATCATGGAGAAATTCTTCCCACTACAGAGCTCATTTGGTGTCACCACTGCTCCTCACTCTCCAGTACTCTGAAAGCTTGAGGATGCTACAGGGCTGCTTTTTCCTATGTTACACTTAGTTTTCAAGGGTTCCATGTTTATCAGGAGACCAAGCATGAGGGAGCACACTGGAAGAGACCTGTGCCTTTCCACTCCCAGACAATTTTCAGCTTTATCCATAAGACTCAGAAGTCTGTTGTAAGCCAATGTCTATCTGTCAAGACAACTCGTCTGCACTGAAAATGCCCATAAATTTTGGTATGTAGCAAGACCAGTGCTAAATGCAGCTCTAATTAGAACAAGATATGAACAGATATTATGGACACTTCTCCCAGATACCAAAAAATCCAGTATCACTGGATTTTTTGGAACATGGCAGCATTTGAAATTACACTTCAGTGAAAGTAATTTTGAAATAAAGATAGATTAGGACATATCTTATGAAAACTTCTGCAATCAGTAGGGTTTGAAACTCCAAACCTCAGTGTCAAGTATGGAGCATGACAAGACAGCACAGGTCACTGCAATCTTGAGAGTGAAGTACCCAGGGAAATGAAGGCTGTGGATAATTTGACACACTGCATAGCTGAGGTTCTAATCTTACACACAAGCAGCCTTTCTTAAACCTGATATTTGTGTCACTCAAGTGTTTTGACCTCTTTTAAAATCCTTGACTTGCTGCAGGGTCTAGTGAGTACCACTGGCAAGCAAAAGCTTCAGAGGGCAGAGGAAAAGCCACTTGAGAGTTTGCAGCCCCAGAAACAACAGGTGATTTCCCTGAGCCTGTAGAGAACCTCAATGGTTTCACCTCCTCTGGCTCAATGAGCTTGAACTCCATTCCTCTGCCAGTCCAGGCAATGAAGTGGGAGTTGGTGGGGTTGTCCAGGAGAGCCACGAGGAACTGCCAGAGCTGGAGCGAGCCCCGTCTCTGGTAGGGGGGTCCTTCCCGGTACCCTCCACCTTCCTGCTTGATGTCTCCTGCTGAGAAGAACAAACAAGACATCTCCAAGGAGAACAGTGCTAAAACAACCGGGGGAAAAAAAAGAAAAAAAGCAGCACATTTTACAGTTTCAAAATGTTTACCTGGAATTTTTAAGTTCACATACAACAGTGCCAAATTGACAAGCAGCTCTTCCGAGAGCAGCTCTGGTATAAGTCACAACTGAGCTACTTATGCTAGGCCTGGTTGCTGCTAAGAAACTCAAAAAATTGGGATACCAAAAAGCTGGGTACCAACACACAGCAAGAGCACAGTAATGAACTCTGTAGGCGCTAGTCAAGGGGCTGGCTAAGGTGATGAATAACCCTGTCTTACACCAAAACTCCAAGCCATACTTTCTCCAACCTTCAAATTTTTCTGGAACAACACAGACATCATCCATAAAGGACCTCATCTGTTTGTCATAGCTGCAGCCTGAAAGAGAAAGGAACATCAGCAGTCAGAGCAGCCAGGGTAGCAGCAGAGGGTGGTTCTGTACAGGGAGGAGAAGACGGTCCCTGCATCTCTTACCTAATGGATCTTCTGTATTTGAATGGCTTGGAAAACTCTCAGCATTTATGTACATGGAAGGACAGTCAGGAACATCTACAGAACAATTAACAAACTCATTTTTTTGAAAAGCACAGGTGGCAGAATTATCTTGCTCTGTAAAGGTGGATAGGTGAGTGCAGCTGTCTAACCAAGGTCCTCTTAGAGCCCTCCTAAAGGTGACTGTCAGACTGCTAACCACAGCTTCATTGGCATTATCCTTCCCGTCATGAATTAGAGCAGTCAGTTGCTGTGGCACCATCACACACCATCCTTCAGATAGCCAGGAGAAGCAGCCAGTCACCTCTACCTCACTTGTATACAAAACCATGGACAGTAGGCTAAACTGGAACCCTCTCTCACCTTAGTTTAAGATAACTACACACTTTGCTGCTGCTTTCCCAGCTAAGAAGGTTTTACATTTTCCCAGGGGTACTGTGATGATGATGGTGACTGGAGAGCAGTAGCATCTGAATGTTTCTGCAGAGTCTCACAAATGTCATTTCAGATGTCTCAAGTCTCCCTGGCTTTTTCACATCATGGGGGAGCATTCCCATAAACAGTTTAGAAAATATAAAAGAAAAATCAGGCTTTTTTAAAAACAAGCAGGAAGTCTTTTCCTGATTCTCTGTGTATAGTGCTGTCTGTGCACTGCAATTTGTGTCTTCTGTATCTTGTGTTTTCTGAATCAAATTTTTTTACTGTACAGAGCTGAAACAGAAGCTGTAACTGGGAGCTTTGCAAAGGTTTATGTTACACTTCCCTCTCACACCTGTGCCTGGCCATTGCTGCCAGCAGATATTTTGCTGATGCTCAGGGAAGAGAACTCTCAGCTGACAGACTGGGTGTTATTACAGCCATAAACTACTCTCACAAAAAGCACATTCCCAGCTTCTGGGCTTGCACATTTTCTGAACAGAAGGACCCAGTGAAATTGTAATTCCAATATCACCACAGTGATACCCTCATAGGAGCTTTTTATTCTTGTGTTTATTTCTGCTAAAGGAAAAAATTCAAGATGTCCTTTGAAATACCAGGAAACCAGAAGTATCACTCCCTCTGGAAAGAGGGTATTGTGATCTCAGGGTAGTGAGTCTTTGGAGAGATTTTCCAGAAAAATAAGATTTATCCCTTATGGAAAAATAAGAGGATCACCTGGTGGAGATATCTGGCATCTAAAGAGCTATTTTTGGCACCACTAACGTTTTTCTCTTGTCATCCCCTGACATCTCTGTTCTCTGAGCCTTGTTTCCATGGGAAGTAGCAGATCTTCAGAGGATACCAAGCAGCACCCTGGCACTGAGCTGAGCCCACCCAGAGCCCCTTTGCTCTGTGCTCAGAGGGGCTTCTGCTGCAAGGATCCAGGACAGTTTTTCTGTCCAAGCTCCAGCATATTTGATTCCTTCCTTTCTGTTGCTCTTTTTGGTATGATTTCTTCAAAGCTGACCTCACTTACTTCCTACAACCTTCCAGCTCACGATTACCCCTGAAAACAAAAACTCCCTGTGAGACTGGAAACAGCCTTTTCTTCATTTCTGATGTTGTGTGTGGGCTAATCACGAATTTTGAGATTCTCATTATTGGCTACTGACTCCCTTGGGGTGGGGATGCTTTTATCTCGTTTGCATGGATTGAACATCCCCTTCTGCCTCCTATCTTGCTAAAGCTTTCAGCTCTGTCCCAGAAAGTCTTTTTCAGTTTGGAATACAATCTGACACCAGAGCATGGTGAGTGTCCCAGCCTTATTTTGGAGGCAGTGAACAGACAGAACTGTTTTAGCTGCCAGGTACCCAGGCAGCACGTGCTGCTGACAGTGAGCAGTGCTGCTGCAGAGCTCAGAGAGCAGCACTGCATCCAGCTGGATGCTCCCCAAGGAGCTGCTGACCCCACTGATGGTGTTCATGCAGTCAGGAAGGGGCAGTTCTGCCTACCTGGCTCGTACAGGTAATCCAGCTGCTCCTGCTTGACCAGCCCAGCTGCTGGGAGCTGCTGCCTGCTGCCTGCCTGCTTTGCTTGCTCGTACTGGGGGTCGTGCTGCTCCTGTTTGAAGCCCTGCTGGGGGTACTGGAGGCAGGGCTTGGGCAGCTGGCACTGGTAGGCAATGGAGTCTTCCTGGGAGGGTGGGAAGGAATGGCACATCTCCAGAGGTGGCTGATAGGCAGAGCTAAGAAGGGAGAGGGTGTGAGACAGCTGCTTCCCTGAGAATTTGCAGCCCCAGAAACAAAGGGTGATTCCCCTGAGCCTGTGGAGAACCCTCTGGTCTCAGCCCTGGTTTCTGCTGTCTGGGCCCTCTGGTTTCAGGAGGGACAGGCACCTCCTCAGCCCCTTGTGCAGCTGCAGGGGTCCACGGTGGCTGGCACAAGGAGGGTGACACCCCAGGGGAGGATGGTGCCAGGGGAAGCTGCCCCACAGCCCAGCCCTCCCAGGAGCTGGCAGGGTGAAGGGCATGGACCTCACAGCCAGGCAGCAGAGGTGGGAGCCACAGGAGGGGATCCTGTGCCCTTCACCTGGATGCTGCAGCCCTTCCTCCTTCCACCACCAAGGAGGGAAATCCTTGCCAGTGGCTGCCTCCTCCTCCTCCTCCTCCTCCTCCTCCTCCAACTCACCTGTTCTCACTGAGGAATCCACAGCTGGATGTGGAGCGGGGTGGCCCTGCAGGGCTCAGGAACCTCCTGTCCTGTCTGGGGAACTGCTGCAGTGGTGGCTGGGTCAGGACTCCGGGGCTGGGGGACTCTCTGAGCTGGTCATAGGCACTGGAACAGCCAAAGAGATATTGCAGCATTTCAGTTCTCCAAGAGGGACTCGTGGCAGCATCTGGAACATCTCAGTCCTGGGCTGCAAGATGTGGCTGGGGGTGTGTGCTCTATCACCATCTGTCAGAGCTGGGGCAGGTGTCCTCTGTTACTGGGCAGTTTGCTTTATCTCTCCCACAGCCAATCCTCCCTCCAGATCTCTGCTGTTAATGGGCCATTAATTATTAATTATCTTCTGTTCATGGCCACTGAGTGTCCCTGCATGGCTGAGAAAATTCCATCATCCCATGGGGAGATGCTCTGACCAGGAGAGGAGCCAAGCATTCCTACCTGGATCCAATCTGACCTGGGAACAGCACAGCAGCCTTTGCCCCCTGCATTCCCAGAGGAGCAGCTT